CCCAGGCTCAGCTTCCTCAACAGAAGGCATGTTGGTGGGATTGAGGAGGTCTTCAAAGTATTCCGCCCACCGGCACACAACATCACGAGTTGAGGTCAGCAGCACACCATCCCCACCATAAACAGTGTTGGTGCTGCACTGCTTCCCCTAAACCTAAAATATTTCATGCTCAAATGTAGAGCTGGGCGGTATACCGTTTTGTACCGAATACCGGTTTTTATTTTTGTTATGATATGAATTTTCTGAATACCGGACATTCTGGTTTAAATAGCCTGAACATGTGCGGAATGTTTTGTTGCGGCCGCCAGTGATTTGTTTCCCGGGGGACACTTTTCTTTGCAGCACCGCTATTTGCGTTAGCATGCTAATGTTTGGAGCAGCTAGTTGCAGCAGCAGGTGGTGATTCTGCTTGATGGGCATTAAAATTTTTTATTAGGTCATACCGCTCAGCTCTACTCAAATGCACGTACAACAATTGTTCTCTTGTCATGAATACAAAACATCTGAAGCAAACAAAAAAATGACTCCTACCTGGTTCTGGTAAAAATTCAATGTTTGTGCACTTTCAACTTCATTAAACTTCTCATATTTAGCTTTGTGCAACACGTTGTAGTGGTGACTTATATTAAAATCCTTCATGACAGACAGCATCTCTAAAGCTGCGTCACACGGCAAGATTTGAAAATTGTCAGCCGATTTTCAAAGACTGAGAGACCCTACATGAGGATAAAAAAATCATGGATATACCAGGTTTGGTCCTACCATGTGCAGCATACAGCCACACGGCAAGGGACAGCTCACTACACACGAAAATATATTTCATTCATGATTATTCAGTTGTGAAATCACACAAGACTTCTTGAAATCTCGCGAGAATTCAGATGTCAGAAGAGAAATCTTGCGTTACCTCCAGAGAGACTTGAGCTCAGAGTCAATAAAACACTTGAGATGAGGAGGAAACAATGTTGATTGGATAACGCTTTCTTTTACGGTACCCTTATTACCATGTAATTACAAGGTAATAAAAAAGAACAATTAAATGGTAATTACTACCTTATTACTATGTAATTATGTGGTAATTAGGGCACAATTTTACCACATAATTGTCTGCAGTAATGTAGCACTTACCTGGTAATGTATTATAATTCACTATGTAACACCTAAATAAGTAGTAGGTAATTTGGACAGTTTTAAAGTTATATTTTATTGCAATTAATCACTTACCCCAAAATTTAGTTGCATTCTTTTGTTTATAAAGACAGTGTTGAGTTACTATTGAATAGTAATTTGATTGTAGTTACCCAATAAAGGTAGTTTTACTAACAGCAGTTTTTCTTTTGTACCTTAATTACCACATAATTACATGGTAATAAGGTAGTAATTACATTTAATTACATTTTTTATTACATTGTAATTACATGGTAATAAGGGTACCGTAAAAGAAAGCGTTACCATTGATTGTGGACTATTTTTACCAGAGGAAAAACAGTTCAAAATAACTTAATGTCCAGCGGACTTTCTGGTGAATCGAGAGGATTTTTTTATGTTTTCTATATTTTGGAATCCCCTCCGTGTTTACGTTACCTCTCTTTTTGATTGGCTACACATCACATTCAGACTGCGAGCTCGTTTGATCTCGGATGAACACTACACACCCTGTGATATCGGGCCAAAAAAATCAAACATGTCTAATATCCCTGATTTGAGGTTGAAGCGGTCCCAACATCTTTCCGAGCTGACTATATCACTCTTAACTCACCACCAATGGCAGGAATATCTGCTATGATTATCTTTAGAGCGATAATCTGGATGCCCTTAAGATTGTTGGAAGGGCAAAGTCGGGCCAGAATTCAGCATAATCATCCTGCCGAGTGACGCAGCCCTAAGCGGACTAAACGCAGGCTTGTCTTGAAATTCTGTTACCATCCAAAATAATAACTTTATTTTTTTGCACTTGAAAAAGCATTTTTGTGCTTTAAAAAAACAGGCCAAACAGAAGTCACCCATGAGCCACCTATGGCCCACGGGCCACCAAGTGTCCATCCCTCATTTAACTAGTCTTTTTGTTGTGAGCTCTATTTGATATTTAGTTTTATTATGATTGCCTCAGTAACAAATGGCATTCTAAAAAATAAATGCCACAATTTTCCCACAGCTTACTCACTCCATAATGCAGAAGACGACACATTATATACAGTATAGTCAGTGCTGATGACTGTCTGCTTCTAAATGGCATAAATAACAAGTAAGCTGAGGTAATAGCAGCTGATATAGCAATTACCTTGTGGAATGTCACTGAAAGGTTCCTGCAGGTTCAGAGTAAGGGTTACTGCTGTGTTGTTTTATATTCACTGACTCTTTTGATTTAGGCACACTTAATGATGTTGAAGACACTGAAGTGATATTTATTATTCACAGTGGTAGAGTGACTCTTTATGTATACTAAAAAAATGAATAAATACCAGGTGCTGTTTGATCGTACTTCCTTACACAGGTGTTGTACGCAAAGAATTCTTCAATATGTCTAATGCTTCCTCATGATTTTCATAAAATAATATTGTCATTATTTCAGTGTATATTAGTGCACATCACCTAGAAAGTGGTAGTATGAAATACTGCAAAGATGAACTTTACAGTGCTAAATATTTGGATTGGTGCTAATGAGTCAAAGCTTCAAACCAAACCACCATGCAGCAAATGTAGAAAGATTATTTTTGTATATTAATTGTAGAATAAGGTTTATATATAAGAATCAGAATCAGTTTTATTGTCAGTGAGCATTCACAGATTAGGAACTTGCAGTTAAGAACACCCATTCTTTTTACACACATAAACATGGGTGAGAACGGATGATCATGTCTTGCTCAACATGGTCACGCTGCCTTTTGCAGCTTGGAAATACACAATAGGATAGATGAGTAAAAATAAAAGATGCTCTGATCCTATGTTTGCTCATAATCACAGAATCATATCCACAAATAAAATGACTCGCTAGAGCAAGGCAGCTGGGGAGGGGAGGTGGCTGGGGCTCAAACACATGGTACGGGGGACGGGATTCAGTGGAGCCGGTGACATTCCAGGTTAATACTCCATGCTGGAACCAATCCAAGACCAGGACCCGCAGAGTCCAGAGACCAGATCTAATCCTCCCAAGCTCAGCCCCAGAGTTCAGGTTTTCCCCTTCCTCTGTCACCCCAGCCTTCAGACTGATCCTCACGGATGACACGGGATAGGGAGTGGGGAACCAATTCTTTGTTGACGTATCATCCAGGGAAATTTTGATAACTGCTGACTGACCAAGGCCAGAAGCTGCTGGGATCTGAAAGATAAACACAATTGTTTTGGGACAAGCGGCCTCAAATTTCTTGCCACTTTATAGTCTTAACTGCATCTCTGAAATGGTGAAAATGCCGAATGTTCCAAATTTCATCACCTCCTCGCTTTTTTCCAWCTGAATCTTCACCCAGGTGTAATCCTACATCTCATGGGCACGCTGCTGAGCTACGATTCTTGTCATAATCACATCCAGTTTGCGTCTTGTTTCCCCCAGCATCTGAGTCTGTGCGTTTCCGGAGCGAGAGATTCCGTCCATGGTTCCTGGCAGCTTCTCATAGGCCCGGACAGCTGTCAGGATCGCTTTCATTTTCCGATAAGCTAGATATCCACCTCCGCCGATCAGCAGGAATCCAGTTATCATATATCCAAATATGTACAAATCTTCCACATCTTCAATGGAAAGTGGCGCCAAACAGATCAGGTTCCAGCCCCAAGAACCACTGACCCGACCAGCAGCAACTATTCCATTGGGACAGCTATGTTCCCCTCATTCCAATCTTAATGTGGAAAAAATAGTGTCAATTGCGTTCAGAGACCAGTTGACCAAACCCATAATTCCTTTTTGTTTTCGGATGATAGGTAGAAGAAAGGCTTGAAAAAGCTGCGAAGCAGGAAAGGAGGGGCAGGTCCGGGAGAGAGAGCAAAAAGCATCCAACTCTAAAAGCCAAGCAGAAAAAAAAACAAAAATTAAATTATCCTTAGGCAAGATAGCTTTGCCTTCATGTGCGCCTCACTTTTGACAATAAAAAAGCATGGTTAAAGTGTTTTGCACAAATATTATTCAAAGAAGGACTAAATAAAAATGTTTGACAAGACTTTTTTATGTTTTTTTTTCCTCTGATGTATAGAAACTAGCGTGCCAAAATCTTATCTACAGTATATATCTTTCATCCAAAAGTCAGGGAGCTGTTTTTCACTGCTGTACCATTATAACAGTTGCCTTGCGGAGCATTTGGATGCAATGTGACAGGCTGTAGGATCAAAGCCCGACCCAGTTTAATGCTATGCACAACCTACCATGACTTATACAACACAAAACAATAGTTTTCTACCAGATTGATACGGATTTGGTGGAAATAAAGCATATAATAGAACTCTTTTCTGAGTGGCGTTAGCAGGATCAGGACACCAATCAACCCGTTTTCTGTTTAAGTATCACTGAGATTTCAAATTTTGTAAAAAAAAAAATCTTTTTTAAATATATGAAACAATGTTTCTATGCATGATATTAAAGCATTTTCCCACTTTCAGTTTTCATCTCATTTTGCCAGCTGCAACAATTATCTCAGTTGGTATTTGAATAGAAACTAGGCATTCATCACGCTTCTCTCAGTACACCCAAATATAGTTTCCTGTTAGATTTATTGACTATCTAAAATCTATAACACTGCAGTCCCTAAGGTCCTGTTGGTTTCTATGCTTGTGATTAATCGACAGGTCAGCCATTTTTGGGTGCGTTATGAAAGTCAACTTGTGTATTTCTGTCGAAGGTGCAATGATTCTGCAGTGCAGCGTTTTCCTCATAATGATGCTCGTTTATAAAAAGCTCAAGTTCTCTTTTTACAGCCAGGCAGACAACATCTGCAAACAATTAGCATTTGAAAGGCATCACAAGCTCAAAATATCTGACACTGATTTCTGCTCAACATTCTTGCAAAGGAAAAAAAAATAATATGTAAAATCAACTTAATTTTACTATAATCCCTCTGGCCAACATTACGGTATTATTATTAAAAGGTTGTTGAACCCATTTTAATGCAAGATAAGTATGGTGGGTAAGTATGCGATCTGTGTTAGTATTCATAGTTTTGTACCACAAAAACATGTTTTTTTCTGTTATCCCACACTGAAAAAATTACTTGTAAGATGTACTTGAAAAAAATCCTCTAACAATTTTGCACTGTTTGTTAAGTAAATTTAAATGCTACAAATTCATGTAATATTTACTCATCAGTATCTAGTAAAAGTTATTAAGAATATAATTAAAGTTTTGTGAGTAAATCAGGTAAATGTTACATAATATGATCAATCAAATCTTGTAACATAAACTTGATCAAATTAAGTAAAATTTACCTGACTTATTCCAGATCTTTAACTATTATAATAACTTTTACTAGATAATAATGAGTAAATATTACATGAATTTGTAGCATTTAAATTTACTTAACAAACACTGGTGCAAATTGTTATGAGGATTTTTTCAAGTATATCTTACAAGTTCTTTATAACAGTGTGCATGCATCAAGCACAGTATTGTAGCATGACACCTCACAGCTACAGAG